GGGCACTCGGCAAGTGGCATGTATTTACGACGGTTGCAGCATCCCAGGGTCATGTGATCACCACGTGCAACCTTCCCAGGGGGCTTCCGACAAACAAAATCAATGGGCAACCACGTGAGTCATTTAATGACCGCTGCAAAAAATGTTGTAAAATTGGGTGCGGTCACATGATGCCTTGCTTAGCAACTGCATGCTTAACGACGAGTTTTCCAATTCCTATTGTGGCCATAAGTCAAGGACTACCTGTATCATGAAAGTTTTCCTTCAGTCATAGAAGCTCACTGGGTGATGAAAGGCTGGATATATATGACTCCCTTCACCTGGACTATTAGAGAATTTCAGCCCCTTCCTAATGTTTGGGAGGAAAAAAAACCCAAATCTCGATGCCACCTTCTCTACTACAACTTGCAGAAAAGAGTTGCCCCAAGTCTGATTAAAAATGGAGCACCCCCACCATCCCGTTGCCCTCTCCATCCCCCCCCCCTTTTCCAAGGCATATAATAGCCTTAACTAAACAGGTGTGTCCCTTTAAATATCAACTGACACATTTGCACACAGTAGACACCAACCAAAGGATTAGCCTTGTACCTCGGCTCACCAGCTGGAGCTTGCCCCATAGGGGTATCTCATAACTGTCCTCAAAAGGGAAGATATTTTCGAAAGCACACAGCACCCCCTTGGCCTATGACCTCAGAGAATGTTTCGAGCAAAGAACATTTGTGCTCCAAAAAATGCAAGAATGCACACTTGGCCCTCGACGGCTCCCCCTTTGCAGAGCTACCCCAGAAAAGGCAAATGTTTGGCCTGGACCGCGATCCTGTACAAGTGACAGTGGGGTGTGAGGTGGAAAGGAAGCATGTCTGGCAACTCCCCCCTCCCTCCAGTAAATTAAAACTGATTTGTAGAGCTTAAAAAAGAAAGAGAGATAATTTTTAAAAAGAGGATCTCTGGAGAATGAGCAAGGAAATGTCATGAGAGTGGAGATGCCTGATACCTTGATCCTGAAATGGTTTTGGGGCCTCCACTTGGTTTTCCTCAAATGGATTGCAAACTTAGTTTCGTTTTTATGTTTCTTTGTTGTCCAGAGCGACTTCAGTAGAGGGGTGGCCGCATATATGTGTTTCACCAATTAAAAATAACAAAATAAATAAAAGCCTGTGCGTGTTGAAAAAAGACAGAGAAAGGCGTTTGCCTTTACATCAACCATGATCACAGGCCATACTGATGGAGACGAATGGGAAGTGGGATACAGGACAGTTAAGGTATTAAGGACGGGGGAAAGTTCTATTCAGAACAGCACCCAGCAGGCAGTAGCACCCATTTTTCAGAAGGAAGTGCTGTCTAGAATCATATAAGCCTGTGGGAGGTCCTGTCCTGAGGCTATGAGAACATGTGGGATGGATCAGGATGCAGAAGAAACTTTTTGGCACGACAATGACCCTCTCTGGAAGCAATCATGAGGTGAGATGTGGAAATGAAGCATTGCTTCCATCACGGTTGCCAAAATGAATATTTTTGAAAGGAAGAGGCACACAAGAATTGTACCAAGCGCTGAAGAATCTGAGCGAACGGACAGAACAAGTTCAAATGTGGGAAGTCACAAAGGTTTTCCATTTTCTTCTTAAGCAATCTAGAATTTCTGCTCTGGCCCAGGTTTTCAATTAGAAAAAAAGCAAAGACCAAATTAAGTGGCTGGTAATGTAATCTGATCCAGGGTCCATGTGCTGAAGACACCTAATCTGGCATCCACGTTTTCCACAGCTGAGCACCTCCCGAAGGGGGAAGAGAAGCACCAAGCCGAACACGTGCAAGAGAGGAGGAGGAGGAGGAGGAGGAGGAGGAGGAGGAGGAGAGACCCTCTGCAAGGAGAGAACCTGATTCACTGGAGAGTCAACTTTTTTGCTTGCGTGCAATGGACCACCTCAAGACTGCTCCTATAAGAGGATTACTCATGTATAATTCTTACCAAGTTTAAGAAACACAAGCCACTACCTCTGATAGGCCAGACAAAGAACTAGCTGGTCCTGTATTATTAATGTGATCAGGTTCTCTGCATTGTTCTGCAGTTGTGCTGGCCTGCAATCTGCAGGCTTGGGGAAAAGATCCTGGAAACATTCAGAAGGAAACAAAGGTTCTTTCAAATTTTTCACGGGTGGGATGGAGTTGCAGGGTTCTCCGTGGTTGTTTGTCAAGTCTCCTCTCCCCAGATCTTCTGATCTCCTGTCCAACGAGGAAGACCATTGGCAGCACTGAACTACTGGGAACAACATATCAATACACCAGAAAGCTGCTAAGTCACCAAATACATTTCAGCCCACAGAGGTAAAACATGGATCAACATGACCACTTTTTCCTTCCCCTTGGGCACCTCTGTCCCCTCAGACTCCAAACCCCACAATCCCCCAAGTCCACAAGTGGCAGGAAAACAAGAACATTTCCTTCACTCCTTCCTACTTTCAAATGAAACCCCTGAGTCCAAAGAATGTCATACAATTCAACGAGGGTTATCATGATCTGCAGAAAGCAGGTTGGGCTCTTCTATATTTAGAAGAAAAAAAATCACCCTGCTGCTGGGAGTTTTCTTTGCAGGATTATTTAGAAACTTGGTGCAGCGTACATCCTTAATCCCCCCCCCATTTTATTGTTAGCTATTAACTTTTAATGTTTGTAAAAATGGAAATCAATATTGGTCTATAGCTAGCTTTTGTTTGGTATATAAGATCTGAATGTATTAAACAAGACACTAAACTAAATACGCAATAGGTCCTCGTTTCCCCTTTTTTTTCCTATCCCCTTTTCGTATATAACAATCTAAAAGCTCAGGACGTTGAATGCAAGTATATCAGGCAGAACAGAACATAAAAATCCTCTTTTTCTAAGACTTAACTTTCCAAATACACAGCTTTTTAGCGAGCAAATACTTCAGTTTTAGTTGGGCAATATTCTGCCCATATCCAGAGGTGGCAGCAAGATTATCTCAAATGGTAGATCTGAGTCTTTCCCTATTCGGAGCTCAAACTCTCTTCAACCCACCCACATTAGAGAAGGCTGATTTGCATCATAAAAATTAATCAATCCTCTCTGATGTTTTTACCCTGGTCCACAATGAAACCAATTTCCCATTCTAATTTACAAAACCAGAAACAAGAGGGTCTCCTCCACATAGATGCCAGTGGAAGAGCGACACCATCTATACCCACAGAATATCAGATGCTTTCTATTATTACCAAATGTCAGGCTGGGTGAAGTTCCCAACCAACCTTCTCTAATTTGGCCACTTTGGGGTATATCCAGGACCCCATAATTCCTGGACCAGCATTGTCCTTATGAGTTGTGCTATTCCTCAAACATCTGGAGGTCACCAGATTGGAGAAGGCTTCCCAAGAGTTTTCCCATCAAAGGCAAAGCTGTAGCTCAACCTTATAAATCTAACTTTTCCTTGGTGTTCATCTCTTTCACCAACAGCAGAAAGGAAAAGTTTCAAGCGAAAACTTCAGTAGGCCTATCAGGGCATTTCTTCCAATCTCTGGGGATGAGAATTGCAAGTTTTGCTCACCTTGTCTCAAGTCCCCAACTCCTTAAATGTTTCATGGAAAGACTTGGGAGCAAGCAACAGCCCAAACCAAGAAGCTAAACTGAAGTAATTTCTGAGCAGCATCAAATGCCTGGATCTTGGCTGACCTTTCACAACAATTTAGGGTTCCAAGGAATAATGCACACCCACACACACAAAGGAGGGGGAAGACAAAAGTGACACATAATTTTTCCATTCTGTGTAAGTCATTATAATCAAGAGTAGAAGAGAGAGAGAGAGAGAGAGAAAGACAAGCCCATATCTGCTCCTCTGCCAAACGGGTCAGGAGAAGGTTATGGGAAAATATGAAACATGTGTCTCTTGGACAAAAAGATGTAACACATGATTTCTACAGGAAATGTACAGGAAAGTGAGCCTGAGAGGGCGAGGGCATGCTTGCCAAAACATTTCCATGGAAACCAACACGAAATAATCTCTTCCCACCATCAATTTTGCAGATGTGCAATTCACCTGAGTTTGCTGACACCCCCCCGAGCATCAACTCCAAGGCCATCTCTTCCTCAACATTCCCCTTCCCATTTTAAAAGTGGTTCTCACACGGAATGCAGACTATATAGCATTATTAAGAAGCCAATTACAAAGTCCAACATTGGCCCCAGGGGAACCCCACTGCTGGACTGGAGAATAGGAAGTCCAACTTTGCATGTCACCTGTGGCTCTTGCATGATTAACATTCTTCTCTCTGGCCCCCCGAATCAAAACCTAGCATTCTTCAGAAAAATCAAAAGTCTTACTTATTTGGAGACCCTGAGTTGGGGGACTTTGCCCTGTGGCAAGCTCAGAATGTACCAGAAACATTGACCCAGGATACTCTAGCTTCACTGTTGAGATTGCAGGGGGTCTCCAGAGTCCTCTTCTAAAACTACCTTCCCTTGCCTCCTCTGACCATGTTGCCCAATTTTGGAGGCCTAGTGGCAGAAAATCAGCAGCACAGGTCAAGAGTTAACTTAAACTTGTAGCTTCACATTAGAAAAAAAAAAAAGACAAACAGGAACTCAGGTTCCCACCCCAAAAACAGAGGGGGGGGGAAATCTCAGGTCCACCAACATGTTCATTGCAGGCTGCTACAGTATAAACCTCCATTCTAATCATAGGCTTGCACTGGAAAATGTTATTATGATTAATACTATCACCCTACTGCTGCTATATTAGATTTATGGCTCATCTTTCCCCTAGGAGCATTGTTTCTTTAATCCCCACATCAACCTTGTAAAGTAAGTTATATGGACAGGGTGACTGTGAGTTTGGTGGTCCCCACTGAAATGTGAACCTGGATTTCTCTGATCCAAATGCGGAGTTACCAAAATGCATAGCAAGGGAACTAATTTGAGTAACCCTTGTCTACCTGTGAGCCTCTAAGAATCTTTTTGTAAGCAGTCATAAAATGAACTAAGATCTTTCTTACCTCAGCTACCAACAGGGGAATTCGCCCTGGGGCAACGTGTAACATTACCTATGGAAGAAAAAGGAAGAGATGATGAAGTTCCAGTTGGTTTTGCTCACAAGTCAACAACCAAGCAAGAGCCAGTGTGGTTTAGTGGTTAATGGTATTGGACTTTAGATTCTTCTAAGGGCTCTTAGAAACTAAGAGACTGTGAGTTCTAGTCCCACTTTAGGCCAAAGCCAGCTGGATGACTTTCCGCCAGTCCCTCTCTCTCAGCTCTAGGAAGAAGACAAGGGCAAACCACTTCCAAAAATGATGCCAAGAAAACTGCGGGGACTTATCCACATGGATGAGGAGTGAGAGTTGACAGACCATAACAACAAACAAGCAAGAAATAAACACTTGTCCCTTCCTGCTACGGTGGAGATGGACAACTTTCCAGATGTTGCAGAACTCCGGTTCCCAACCACCCAAGATAGCAATGGTGGAGGATGCTGGGAGTTGCGGTCTAACACAACCACAGCCAAGGGGCTATATATGGCCCATCTGTTTGAAACAGAGCCCTCCTACTATTCCTGGATTACAATTCTCATCATCCCTGCCTGGGGTTGATGGGAACTGGTTGATCTCTAGACAGCCGCAGATTTCCCGTTACCACCGTACAGTGTTAAGAATACATAGAGCACAGGTTTACTGGAAAGGTTTTCAAAAATGAGAGTCCCCAGTTCATCTTAACTTTGTTTAAGTAATAGGTTTGAAGAAGGAAAGAGACCTTGTTCTAGGTCAGAAGGATTGCATGAAACAGGCTGGATAAATTAAAGATGGAGATGCAACTGAGTTTGCAGAAAGAGGCATCTGTCTCCAAGACCCAACCCAGTGAAACTGAGGCCCAGAGATTTTTTAATCCTTGACAAACACCACGACTGTTTGTAAAGCAAGCATGCTGAAACGTGGTTTCGCTGAGCCTCCAGTTGCAAACGTAGCCCCACAATTAAAAGGGCTAGACACCTATGATTTCGAGAGATTATCCTCCTCTACACATATATCCCTAGAACAGTATTACAGTAATATTGCATTTTGCACTCCTCACAGGTTTCCATGAACATGCATTCAAAGATATGCCACTTAGAGGCAAGGCTCATCGCTAAGTTGGGCATACAGTACAAATACCTCGAATATGCAACCTGTCAATGAGTGTCATTTGCAAATGACAGCTGCAACAGGCAAACAATTGTGACATTCATACATGATTGTTTGCTGGAGTAGGCTTAACATTCATCATAGGGGATCAATCCATGTCTATGCCCAAGGGACAACTTATGACAAGCCCCTCCAAAAACTGCCATCAAATCGCAATTTATAATGTGGTGGTGGGGATTACAAGTAAGTATGGAGGAAACATGCTAACTGCATTTCATCAATCAAACTGAATGTTAACTAAATGCAACTTGTTAATCAAGTTGAGTTCTTGCCCCGTCCATTCCACTCCTCTGCAAGATGTAGATGGAGTGATGCAATCGAAGATGAGCCTCAAAACATCTGCCATCTTGCAAATGTTGTCCCCTCCTAATGGATACCTCTGCTGCGGACGGCGATTTTAGAATGTCAAAATTCTTGTAGATAGTTACCAGCATAAACTATAAATATAGCAATCCATTTGAGATATAATTATGATTTTTTAGAATGGTTTTTATATGCTTTGGTATTGTTTGTATTGTTCTTAATTGTTGTATTGTTTGGCTGTTTTATATTGTTTTATCTGTTTGTAAGCCATCTAGAGCCATGTATATGACATAGAAAACTATACAGATCGGGAATGATAGATAGACAGACAGACAGATAATTGAGACATTGGGAAACATATTAAGTAGCCACAAATCTCAAAATTCAATTTTATACAAGATGTAAAACATGATGGTTGCTATTCTCCATATGTTCAAAACAGAGGTGATTGGCTAACCTTTGCTGATGTCAACATGTCCAAGGAATCCAGTAATGGAAAGCACCATTAATTGGGGATTCCTTGTATATCTAACCATAAATTAAATGAATGGGCTAACTGGCACCCAAAAACCCAATCATGATTAACACTAATGAATCCTAGTCATGTGAATGTATCAATGAGATCTTTATGGGACCTGGCTAGGAATGTTGGGTGGAGATGACCTCTGCTTTTTCACTCATTGAACATTTCCTTCCACCCATCTCCTAATGCTTTTCCTAATTCCTCCTTCCTTTTTTTCCTCCTTCCAACTCTCCATCTTCTGTCCAGACTTGGTTTGAACTGGGTTTCTGTCTCCCTGCTTTCCTTCTCACACTTACGCTATGTTACCTAACTATGAGTGTCCCCCATTCTTCCCCTTCTCCTGTTCCTGCAGGAGTTTCATTTTCTGCTTACCTTGATGAAATGGAAAACATAATGAAAAGGGTGAGACACACTCATAGAGAAGAATTCTGCAGTGGAAGTACAATTCACAAATGTTTTCCCTAAGGAAGGTTGACCGGTGCCATACGATGGCAACTTTTCAATCCTAAAGAGATTTTTATTTCACTCGGCATTTACATTGGACACCCTACGTTGGCTACTTGTATCCTTACTTTTTCCCTCCATTGTTGTTGTTGTTGTTCAGTCGTTAAGTCGTGTCCGACTCTTCGTGACCCCATGAACCATATTTGTTGTTCAGTCGTTAAGTCGTGTCCGACTCTTCGTGACCCCATGAACCATATTTGTTGTTCAGTCGTTAAGTCGTGTCCGACTCTTCGTGACCCCATGAACCATATTTGTTGTTCAGTCGTTAAGTCGTGTCCGACTCTTCGTGACCCCATGAACCATATTGCACCAGGCCTTCCTGTCCTTCACTGCCTCCCTGAGTTTGCTCAGTTTCATGCTCATTGCTTCAGTGATGCTATCTAACCATCTCATCCTCTGCCGTCCTCTTCTCCTTTTGCCTTCAATCTTTCCCAGCATCAGGGTCTTTTCCAAAGACTCCTCTCTTCGCATTAGGTGACCAAAGTATCTGAGCTTGAGCTACCCTTTCTCTCTTTATTTTATTTATTTATTTATATTTCAAATTTGGACACCACCCATCTCACGAGGAAGTGACTTAATAACTCTATAATTTTAGGGAATTATGTTTGAATATCAGTCTGTCTACACCTCCCTGGAATCCATGAGGAGCAAAAGCCACTTTGAAATAAATAAGGATTGCTTCCATATCTCAGATGGAACCAGGGGCACCTGTAAGGGATTAAAAAAGTCAAGATGGCAATTACAATTGACTGCCCCTGCAGATGCCCCTGGTTGCAACCTCACCCTGCTGAGAGATGTTGTTTAACAACAGCCAGAAGGCCATAGCTACTTCACCCTAGAGCAGGGATAACAAAAGCATAGTTTGCGAACCATATGTCTGGTGTCCCCCAGACTACGTAAATCTAGAAATGTGGCTCTATGAACCCCAGGGCTGAAAGGGAGAATGCATACCTTAACCCCCTTAGATCCTTTCTCCCCCAAACTGGGAAGATGGGCCCACCCATTTTTAGAACATGGCCCTTGGCATACATTTATGCAAACTCACCATGACTCCTGAGCTACAGAAGTTGTACACCTTGCTGTGGAACGCTCTGGAACTGACCAGCTCTCCCTGTGCATACTGGCAACCCCCTTCCTGCACCCAGGACACTCTCTCATTAGCACCAGTTGCTGTCCTGAAAACCCACCAACCTTGCAGGAAGAGGGAGAATAACCCCAAGGTAAGCCATCTGGCAACTGCCACAAGTGAAAGTAATTCTTCCAAGCAAGATTCTCAGGGTCTTCTTTATCTAGATTTATTGAGATGAAAGGGAGAGGCTTGTAAGAACTTCAGCAACTGAACTATTTCCAAATTTAGAACCAATTTATTTCCCCATATGTTAGGGTACAGACATTTTAAACTTTCTTTCTAATGGATTTCCTGTGAATGGGTGAGGAGGATTTCTCTCCATTGATAACAGATGAGCTTCCAGGTGGATGTTTTCAAAATCATCTTCTGAATCTTTATCAGTCCACAAATCAACCATGGTACTCACTATGCAAATAAGCAGCTACGGAAACTGCACACACCCACTATGTCCATAAGACACCCTTGTGGTCACAAAAGAAATTAATTAATTAATTAATTAATTAATTAATTTGCCAATGGGGTAAAAGATTCAGTGAGTACCTGCATGCACCAATCTGTCACAAAAGTCCTAAGATAGTGTCTATACATTCCATAAAATAAAACCTGATTTATATGGCCAAAATAGATTCCACAAAAATTCAGTCTGCTGAGATGTTGCAAGATTTCAAGCCAAACTCACAATTTGGTGATCTCACAAGGTTCATGCTGATAGCTAGCTAGTTTTTCAGATGACTACATCTGAAAAGATTGCCGGCATCTGGTATGTACGCTCCGTAATTAGAACAGTGAAGCTACGAGGAAAATGATTGCCAAGTTTCCAACAGAGATCAATCCTTGGAATTGAAATTTAGCTCAATGCAAACTATGTCTCCTTTTTCATCCCCAGCACATTTTCCTCTCCCGTCAACCTCAAGGCATCGCTCTTGACTCAGGACTGCAAATGAGGAAAACACACACAGAAAACTCAACTCACAGATGTTCTTCTGGGAAAGCAAAGAGGCATTCCGGCTAGATTTCAACGATCAGCTAGTGAAAAAGAAATTTGAATCAAGAGCCTAACCTACATGTGCATGAATGAGTAGAAGACAGAGGGGAAGAAGATCAGAGAATATCAGAGACATGAACACCTTTTCAATACTGGTGACTGAGTAATATTAAGGCAAGAACCATGGAGGAAATGCTCAGAATTGCATCACAGCCTTCTTTGGCTTGCAACCAGCCATCAAGATGCACCTTATGGATTCCAGCCAAAATATCCACTTATTATCTCCTGGAAGATCATGAATGTATCTCTTCTCCTAACAAACCAGCTCACCTGCAGCTACCCTGTCATCCTCCCTTATGCTACAGATCAGCTAAATATCAAGCAACATTTTCTTATGCCTTCTACATGGCATGAGGTTAAATTGA